CAAAGTCGTGGACTATACATATTTACGCCTTGGTCTATTGGATTGTTGGTCCTAGTCACGTTGGAGGAACATGTTGGAGGAACATGACGACAGTGTAGCAGCCCATATAAGGTAGAGCTGATTAATGTTGGTACAACGTTTGCGCAAAGCAGACTCGTTTAGTCTTCAATAGCGTACGGCAAATTGAATTACAGTACCACGTTATTCTTGTAAGAAAGTTCGTAGATAACGCAAACCTTGCACCACATCAATCAGCCCAAGTAATAATTCACTGTGGCACAAGGTATGTGGATTTTTTTTCTTTGTTAGGCGATTAAATTTTCGGTTCGGTCCATTCGGCTTTTTCGGGTTTTCGATTCGACTTGCGATATGATTCCGAATTCGACTTCGAAAAATATAAAGGCTTGGTATCGACGATGTTTCGATAGCAAGCCGTCTGATATCCCTGCGTATCGTTCGGGGGACCCTGGTGTGTTTCATTCGAGGTGTCAAGCTGAGGTTCTTGGACACAAGGCTCACTCCTCGGTCTATCGAACCCGGACACAAAATTCTTGTAGGAGCGCACCCCATATACTTACTACTAACTTAATTTCTGTAAACGGCTATCTCAATTCAATAAAAACACTTCACCTAACGCGTTGTCTTGTGTGATTTTTTTAAATACTAAATTCTAGAGTAATTAGTTGTAAGTACTAACATTGATTTGATTTTTAGGTATCTTACAAAATACTTGTTGTAATAAGACCAATGAAAGTAAGACAGGCAAATCTCAATTCAATAAAAACACTTCACCTAATGCATTGTCTTGTGTGATTTTTTTTAAATTCTAAATTCTAGAGTATTTAGTTGTAAGTACTAATAATGATTTGATTTGCAGGTATCTTACAAAATACTTGTTGTAATAAGGCCAATGAAAATAAAACAAAAAAAAACACTGAGTTGTGTGTGTGGTGTCTTTTACACAATTGCGCGCACTGACTATGTGTCACATCATCGTGTCCTACTGCAAACACACAAGTAACTAATTTTCCATTTCAGGTACTAGAACGTCATTTTTTCTCGTCATTTTTTTGGACTCCACCTCCATTTTTTTCCTGAGCCAATGGAAACACACTTTTTTGGGGGCGCGCCCTCCCAAGATTACACAAGCTTTTTTCCACTGACTTTGGACTACTTTTTTGGATGCGTTCTTGAAGAAACGTATGGCGCCACCAACTTGGAAGTCAGAAGGGAGTGAAAAATGCAGGTAGAAATTTATAATTGAGTTGTACGTAATTAAAAGCTGATGAAAAATAAAGTTTGAAAACAAAAGAAAAATTCATCAGCTGGTTTTTTGTCCTTTACATTAATACTAAACAATCTAAATTAGGTAGATTTTTGTGGTTGTAATGGAGTTTCATTTCTGCCATAAGCAATAAATGTTTGACGAACACAATGTCGCTTCATCAGTGTGTTTTTTTCTGTTAACAAGTTTTATTTCAGGAACTTCAGCCGTCATCTTTTTAAACGTCTTTTTTTGCTCGAAAATCGCTGCCTCGAAGACGTCTTTTTGGGCGCGCCCTCTCAAGACCGAGCCCGCCAAACTAATTGTTTGACGTTTGCTCGCAAGAAGCTCGTTTTGGAAGTACTTCTGGCTGCGTTCCTGAAGAAACGCATGCATGGCGACACTGGTTACGACTGAAAAACGACTCCAAGTTCTAAAGGTAATACATATATTTGTTTCTTTTTTTCAGTTGTTTTAACTGTTAGATGATCTTTTTGTGTTTCAGATTGAGTGCGTGAAGTTAGCTTTTTTCAGCGCCTAAGAGGTAAGGAAGAATGAAACGGACCATGAGAGAACTAAATCTGATTTTGCAGATACCGGCACTTATCCTCAGACGATGAAAACTTATTTACTAATTCAGACTTTTGTGGGATTCAAACCCACGATCTTTGTTTAGTTACTGGTCATCATAATCTTACCAAAGAGTGCAATTTTCAAGACGAAGGATTCCAAATGATGCACTGAATATCTGTTTGTTGATTGCTGTCAGAAATTGATTGGATGTCAGCAGTCAATTCCAAGGCCTCTTGAGGGAAATGGTCTCTGTTATCGGTTTTCAACTGCACGAAAAACCCAGTGTTTTGATATTATTAATTTTGTGTTCAAGAAGTATTTCATTTAGGTCAGAGAGGTTCAGCAGTGTTATGACAGTTCTGAACTCCGCCCGGCAGACCAAAGGTAAGTAAACCACGAATGAACACGTTCAAAAAATGTGACCAGGAAGAAAACCGATCGTAAGAAAAGCTCATGGCCTTTGTTCAAGTTTTGGATCTAGGTGCAAGTCCCTTACTAAACGTTGTACAGAATGAGGCTCTTATTTGGAATTAGAACCTGTAGCCTCAGCGAGTTTGTTTATTTTATAGCTGTCAGTTTCCTTAGTTGAAGGTGCCTCTGGCCCTTTATAAGCCCCAATATCCATATACAAATTGTCCAAGCTGGTCTTTTCTACTTCTCTTTAAAGAATGAGTTGAATGAATTTGATAAAAGGTCAAAACATTTTCTTTTAAGTGATCATTTTATTAATTCTCATAGCCTAATCTCTTGACATTGTATGGATATCGTTAGGAGAAAATGAGTTGCACATTGGAACACATCCTTTTCTTCAATGGACTTCTTATCCATGAAGGTTGCTGGATTTTACGAGGTGTTACTGGGATTCAAACCCACGTCTACTAAGAAGTTTCTGAAAGCTAAATTTCTTGTTCTTGAGATGTATTTTATATAGATCCTAAAAGACTCCAGATGTCGCACACTGTCTGGCCTACAGTCATAAGTCCTAGTAGGAGCCAGCCAGCAGTGACTTGTAATCGATATGAGGGAACCTGCTTAAAGTCGGCAGAAGTAAGTACAAGAATTGAAAATACCCAACCCACATCTTTCAACAAATTAATAATTAATAGAAATATTGGCTGAAAAGAATTTGGGCTGGTGTCGAAACTGCAAGCAGAACGTTCTTTATGTTTTGTGTCAAATTAATTGAACTAAGCATGTTTTTATACTGCAAAAATCTGGGAACAAAAGAGGGGAATTCGTAGCGCCACCTTTACTCTGTTAACCCTCAGACGTACACACAAAGTCATACCCCAACAGTGGTACAAGGGGAGGGGGAGTTGATGGAACTCCCCCTTGGGTTTTTGACATGTTACAGTATTTCGAAACGATTTTGCCTTCAGTGGAAAGCCTTTGATCTTCTCTACAAGATGAAGTATATTTTATTGGTGGTGGCGCTGCTGGAGGTCTGTGACGTCACCAAACATTGTCGCCATCTTGGATTTTATCAAGAATTAGAAATCAGGTAAAAACGTTTTCACTCCACCTTATGGAGAGTGCATCCCCCCCCCCCCCCCCCCCCCCTTTGCACGTCCGTCAGGGTCAAAACTTTCACTGATTTTGCTTGGAGTCTTGTTCCTTTTTTTCTAGCAAAATGTGGGAACTAACTGGTGAGGCAACGTCAAGATGAGTAGAGGGCTGGACAATTGACTGGCACCCGCTGCATTTATGGTGATGATTAATTATCGTGTTGACGGAGATGATGATGACGATGGCTATTAAGAAGTGCTGTTAGTGGCAAACGACGACAGTGGTAATGATGATGATGTATCTAACCGTCTTCAGCAGGTGATATGTGCATTGAAATATAACTAGAAATGTGTGTATCGCAGACCCTTATGAGGCTCAGGGCAGGATGGCCCGTTAAATGATAAGTATGGGATGGTGGAGAGAAATAGAGTATAAAATCAATGCTGGATCCACACTTTGAGATAAGGAGGGGGCCCAGTTATTCAGACCCTTGGATAAAGGGGTTGGGTTCTCCAAGAATTTTTTTTTTTCGGCCCTTCGGGCCAAAAATTTGGTCCAAAAGTAAGGGGGGGGCAAGCCTCCTGGGCCCCCCCTGGATCTGCCACTGAAAATTGTCCAACTTACGACCTATTAAACTAATACAACAGCAAAGGCTAAAGGGACTTGAGTTTTGCCGATAGTTCAGATGGTCTTGGCGTTCTTCTCGGAGGATTTTTATAAGGCTAATAAGGATAAAACTGAAAATAATGACAAGCAGATGAAGTACATGATGAACTCATTTGAAGCACAAAAGGAAAATGACAAAAAAAAGGAAATAAATAAAGAAGAATGGAACGAAAATGAACTTAGAATATGAACCAAATAAAAGGAAAGAAAATAAATATAAAAATAGTAAACTAACAATTCTTAAGAATCCATCATAAAAAATAAATTGAAAATAAAGTCAAATAAATAATACGAGAATTAGAAAAACAATAGTAATGATTACGATAATGATAATAGTAAGAGAAAGGGGAAATAATTGCAACAAAAGAGACTTGATTGATTTTTGAAAACGAAACTGCAAGGACACTAAGGCAGTCACGTTTCAAAAATCAGGCAAGAAGTAGTTTCTATATTTTAAAGTCTTTTTAGTTGCCACTTTTAATGCTTTTCCTTTTCTATTACTGTCATTATAATCATTATTATTTATTATTATTATCATTATCATTTTTAAGTTCCTTTTTGTTACATCCTTTAGATTTTTTTCCTTTTTCGTCTTCATTCTTTTGTGCATGAGTCATTATTTTTAAGTTTTATCCTTAGTAATTTATTCATTTCAGTTTTTGAAGTTTGAAACTGTTGTTTCAAATTTTCAGCCGAGTCGATTTCCTAGTATATAGGGACGGTCTGACTATCTGAATTATCTGGAAACGCCAGTCTCGTTTGCCTTTGCTTTTTTTCTCAATTAGTTCATTAGATGCTTTGATCCAATGAAGGAACAAGTGAGGGAAAACTTTTAAATTTTCAAAGTAAGAACTTTGAATAATAAGTTCAGTTAAACGTGTGGTCTTGATTTCTTGAGAGATATAGGAATAGTGAACGTTGACAACCTGGGCAGCTTGATTGAGGCACCGTGATGTAAAGAAGCTAGATGAAGACGATTGACACCTGTTGCATGGGTGATGATCATGATGATAATGACGATGACGATGATGCCAACCATGATGTTGACGATTATGCTGACCATTATGATAACGATGATGATGTTGACAATGATGATGATGCTGATGGTAATGCCGACGATGATGTTGACGCTGACGACGACGACGACGATGATGATGATGACAATGATGCTGACGATGATGACAACGATGGTGATGATGCCGAAAACGAAGATGACGTCACTGACGTGATAATGACGACGACGATCATTTTGACAATGATGATGCTGCTGATAACGAAAATGACGTTGCTGACAATGATGACGACGATGACGATGATTATGATGATGACGATGTTAAGAACGATGATGATAATGACAATGACGCGGAAAATTCTGATGGTGATGATGATGAAGATAAAAATGACGTTCTGGAGAAAATTTCTCTGATGAAGGAACTCCGAAGCTCAGCAATTGGCCATGGCGACGTTAAAATGGTGAGTATCAGAATTATGACCTTTGTTCTTCTTCAATACCTGACTGCTCCCCAGTCGTCTTTCTTCTCTTACTCAAATATCAACGATGGAGGCGCGTGGAAGATCCCTTCCCTGGGTATCGTAACAGTCTGTCTTCCGGGACCGTTCATTGACCAAGAGGGACAAGAGAGGCGGCTGGGAACGAGTCAGCTTCGAAAGGGGAAACGCAAAGACCTAAAAACTGCAACGAGAGGAGTCACGTGAGGGAAAGCTGAGCTTTGATAATGTGTTCCCAGTTAAACTAGAAGTTTGGTCGTAAGCTTTCCCTGCTTTACTTATTAAAGCTGTGGACTGCAAAAGAAGGAAAAAAACGCGGTTCTAGACTAAGACAACCTTGGGATATTCAAAACTCCATTAAATGGGCTTTGCCATTGATCGCTCGCACTTGCCTCTATGATAAATTAAGGCCGCTATATGTTCTGAACTACACGACAAAATACTCTGTAGCAATAGCAAAATAAACTTTGGATCCTCCTTTAAAAATCAAACAATAAAGGTATCTTCTGTTTTCGTCCCTACAGCTTCCAGGAAAAGAGTGCCAAGCATGTGTTCATATATCATATTCAGGGAGGATGAGTGTTGATGTACGCTACCCTTGCTACTACCCTGCGTCACTGCAGCACGAGAAACTATTATTAATAATAATAATTATGTATTACGACCCACATTTAAACAGACTGCTTTTCGCCGAGCTCGCTTTCGTGGGCTCCGGGACAGCAAATACCATTGAAAAAAATCAGATTCTACTTCTATAAGGTTTTACTTCGACAATTTCTTCACTACCTAAATTTTTATGCAATATTTTACTTTGTAAATTGGCAATTTCTAAACAGCAGTGAGTTTAAACTTGGGCCTATGTACTGAAGAATTGTTTTTTTTTTTCTCGGCCGATAAATCGATAACGCAGGTTTAACGCGGTCTCTCAGCTAAATGATCGAACTCTTTCAAAGCCTTAAGAAAAAAATGTAGTTTTTACCTTAGAGTTCAAGGAGTAAATCCTATGTGGTCACCAAATAAATAGAAAACATTTTCAAGCTTTAGTACTTTAGCCGGCCCAGTTCAGACGCCGAACTTTTTATGAGCCGAACTTAATACATCTAATTAGGTCAATTAGGAACACCTATTTTAATTTGGAACGGCTCAGCCGTTCTTTCTGCCTAGCCCGGCCGGGAATTTTGCCTTTGGAGCGACTTTGGAACGGCTTTGATTAAGACGACGAACTTTTCATGTGCCGAACCTAATGCATAAATTGTTATAACGTATTTTGCAAGCAGTTAGACCGAAATGAATATTTTTCTCCTTTTGAATTCAGTTCGGCTGGAATTAAGATCGACGTCTGAATCAGTTCAGCCGGTCTTAATAATTCGGCCGGCCGTCTGAACCGGACCATACATTTTGATTTTGCGAATTAAAGAGCGTAAATGGATATCAGTATGAAGATTGATTCTTAAGAAGCTGTTTAGAGTGAAAGAGTTCATAAAGGACCATGAAAAAGGGGCCGTTTTTTGATCATTTCATTATCAGACTAAGAATGACTAAGGAATATATAACAAATGTTGGGGCCATCATGTGAAGGAAGAAAGCTATTTTACAAATGGAAGAGGTTTTTTCGTGAACTTTGTGTAAAGTTGAATTTATCAATTCGGCAACGAAAATGAGAGCGTTACTTGGAACTTCTGAATTCTTCTTAATTAATGCCACAAACGCTGACTTTATAGCTTAACATGTAACATAAACTGCAATAACTTTCTAATGCATGAAGATTTTCAGAGGTTCCGAGCAAAATGTTTTCACGTCTGATCTGAATTTGTCGGCAAAAAAAAAAAAATTATAGCGCCTGTCTGCTAAGTGAAATGCAGGGAATCATAGCTTTCACCCTTTACATTGATCCAATAAATATAATTTAATTAATCATATTTAGATAAAAAGAGCGAAAGCTCTTTGATATCATTGCTCGAGCAATATTCAATTCGCGCTATTCTAGAGTCAGCCTCGCTGACTGTTCACTCCGCGAATATATTATTCTTTTCGTTTTTTTATTTTTTATCAGCCTAGATAAATTATTTGTTTAGTTACCTTAGCTTTTTTCTTGCCCTTATATACAGTAGAAGGCCTTAAAACCGCAGGGCGTCAGCATAGCACTGGTCGGGGGGAGGGGGTACACGGTCCGCATTTTACCCAATTTAATTGGTTTTCGGGGTTTACGTGTCCGGCTATGGTGTAAATGTAGTTTTGGTCGCATTGTAGTTGATGTATTTCTTATCAATAAAGTATGATAGACGTTGTTGAAAAACTGCGTGCTTGATTCTTTCGTTGTTTTTGAAAAGGGGACCAGAAGCCGATTGGGGGGAGGGGGGCACAATATTTTGTCTCAACCGACTTGAACCTCAATCGGCTACTGAGAGCATTTTCACTTGCGTGGCCAGTAGCCAGACAAATTTGTTACAGCAAAAGGAGGCGCAAACAAGAGAAAAGAGGACTGCAAGCTTACTTGCTGTTGCTTTGCCCACTTCGTGGTTTGCTTTCTTGAGGTGCTTTGCTTAAGGTGTTTGATTACTTGACGTGCTTGCATACTAGACGTGCTTTGCTTACTTGGGCTGCTGGGGTTACTTGAACTGCTTTGCTTTCTTGAGAAGAGATCAAGCTGATTGTGCCAGCTATGCAATGGTAAGCTATGTCATTGACCCACACTATGGCTAGGCAAAAAGTCTAACGAGATTTTTTTCTACACGATTCGGCCTTCCGTTTCGAAGGAAATCGGTGAATTAGACCCGATAAAACCGCATCTTTTTTTAAACCGCTCTCCGGAGTAGTTCGAGTGACCTGCACCCATCCAAACCTCTCATTTTGCTGGTCCCTATAACCTGTACTGTCTATAATTGTTTTCAGGGATAGGGGCATTGTTATGTGACCATCCCTATTGTTTTTTTTTCCCAGCCAATCACAAACCTTGTTTCGAATAGGTGCAGGTCGGAGGGCCCCGTCCACACGAATCCGGGTAACAACATATGCGGTTTAAAAAAATGCCAGGATTCTTGTAGAAGGGGTCTGAGTGAAATATGTCTGCTGCTCGTGTGTAATAAATAAATTATATCAAGTGGCTGATAATCGAGCCTCATAAACTGGCCATGAATTATCCGAAAGGATTTGAGGGTATACTTTTATTTCCTCATATATGTTTCATCTTTGTTTTTTTAGGGGTATTAACTCAGAGGTTATTATTTTAGTAAACGTGATTAATGTACATCCGTTTCAGCTCGTCCGGAATTTACAATTTCACTTTTAAAGAAACGGGTATTAGGCAAATCCGTAAACATATTGACACGTATAGCAAACTGTTATAAAAAGGTGAGACATAACAAATGTAGTCACAGTTTTATTCTGCAGCCACAGTATAAATACAATCAGCAACTGGCTACCTTCACCTGTACCTTTATTCCCGTTATCTTGTGGTGCGAATTGTCAACCAAAGTGAGCTTTTAATCTTTTCATGTTTATTAGTTACTTTGCCGAATAATTAGTTTTCCATGGTATCCTATTAGTTACCTCGTTTGGTTCGTTCATAAGCTCATGTGTCAAGGTTGTTACTTTTTGGTTGAATTGTATTTCGTAATCTTATCGTACCTACTACATTTACTGCGGACCTTAAGATACCCAGCTATATAACTGTTTCTACCGTTTCTATGGTTACCAGTAGGCGAATATGTTCGCCAAGTAGCTATCCAAAAAGGTCCCTGTTAGCGCTTCAATAGGGAGCTTCAGTAACGACGACGGCGAAGGAATAGGACGAGGACGAAAACGCCCAAAAAGCAATTTGTTTGTTAAGCAAAACAACAACTTTGCACGTGATCACGCTTTTTTGTACATTTCTTTGCTGTCACTGCACGACTACGACGTGAAATACCTGATTCCACGCTTTATGGAGGACGTAAACAAGCGACGACGAATTTTTCTTTCTCTTTCTAAACTTGAGTGCGGTCCTCAAGAAATCAACTCTAGGGAAATTCGCCTACATTTGTCATTTTCAGCGGATTGAAATAAACGCGACAATGTTTGAAAAACGCGAACGCCTTTTCAAACTTACGTTTTCGCTACCGTCGCCGTCGTCGCTGCTGAAGCTCCCTAATAGCCACCTCTTCCGAACCTCTTCGATTCCTCTTCACTGATTTTGTTAAACTACTCATCTATCTACTTTAAATATCGTCATCGTTTATTCATCTTGTTATCGTTGCAACTTTAGTCAGAATCCTTAAAGCGTGATTAAAATTGTTGATCATCATCCTACGAAGTCCCGGGAAAGATGTTTGGAGGTTGTTTCAGTGGGCCTTGGAATTCCTGCCCCATCACAGACTACCGTACCCATGCTCAATTTTGGTACCCCATGTAAGAATTAAACAGTTAAAATTATAAACCCTATCTCAAGAAGGAAATAAATAAGATCACTTTTTTCCCACAATAATACACCGAGTGTTATATTTTTGAGCCTTTTAAAACGACTTGATTTGAATAAAAAAAAACATATGTAGTAAGCGAGATCATAATACGTGTACTTGAGAGGAAGTCAAATACCCTTCAAAGACCCCATCTCAGACTAAGAAGTTCAAACTTAGAACCCATCTCAGACCTACAAGGTAAAAAATGGGACGTCAATCAGCGGTACATACATTATATAAGGTACAAAACTCCTCTCCCCACCCCCCTTCTCGCACCGGGTGGAAGTAAGTGGAAGTAAAATAATTTCCTCGCAAGAGCCGCTTTTGTTATCAGCACGACGTTTAGGGTCATGATGCAGCCTCTAGGTTCTTTACGTCTTTACTCACCGCTTCGCCCACCAAAATAGCTGTGTCGACCACTATGTACCACAAATTATTATCGATTGCAAA